CACTAATTCCTCGCACTGATTTTCAACAAGTATTTTTTGCCAAAAATTGGAAATGTGCAGGAAGTTTTGTGCCTGCAAAACCTATCCATATATGAACGCAGACATGTATGTGTTGTTTAGTATGTTAATATTAAATATTATGCATGTTAAAAACACAAGTATGTGTTATTTAGACTCAAACAAGAAATGTACAAGGTGAAAAAACATGATACACAGTTGAAAAAGAATTTTAAAAATCCACTGTGTATCACTTGAAATGTATTAAAAAACTGCCATTTTGACATGTTTCACTAGAAGTCTTCTTGCTGTAACTTCTGTCTGATTTCTGAAATGCAATTCTCTGGCAAAGTAAAAGAGAGTAATTCCTCTTAGCGCTGGCAACACATCCTACTCACAATGATGCAGATGCGATGACATGACAAATAAATTTAATAGAAATGTCTGTGGTAGAACACTGGGAGCAAACCTTTGCCTAGACACTTGCAAATAATGAGGAATCTCATCCATTTTCAGAGCAGAAACATATAATGATGATGATAATGATACAACAATAAACATGAAATCCTTCTTCTTGATTTCTTCCCTTTTCTTCCTCACTCTTGCATGTGGGTAGGATGCTTGTAGTGATTGCAAGAGAGCCTTTCTGCTCCCATGAGGCACTTTGAACACACACTCTACAGCCACAGTTGTTGAAGCAAGGGAGATGAGAAGGGGTAGTGATGATGGGAGGGAAGGCACGAAGCTGAGTTTGCACAAGAGGTTCAGGCACACAGCATCTGATAATTAATGTCCATCAAATATTTTGCCTTGAGGCCAGCTCGCTAAACAGAGTGGTGTCACGGAAATAAAATGAAGGCCCCTGTGCCAAAAGTTCCCATGCAGATTTCCTTTCCTCTCCATGCTCTCTAGGTTATATAAAGGATGACCTGACCAGCTGCTAATTTATATATACTTCCTTATGTGTACTACAGAAACATAAAGCATGCAATTGGTAAGACATTGGAGAATGAGCTAACCAGCTCTTTGAAACTCTTCAACATCCACAGTGGTCACATATCCAGAAACTTGACTAACAGGTCTTTTCCAAACAGCAGTGAGAGAACAAGTCTGAACATCTGAAATGCTTTCCTCTCCAAACGATGTTGACAATATTGCAGAATGCCAGGCTTATTTGTAAGGATACAAATGAGCTAGCCAGAATGCTGCATGGTGGAGCCATGAATCAACAAGCTCAACTCCATCAAATCCTTATAGCATTGTGCTTACTGACTGTGAAACAGCGACAGCCATCTTAAAAATGTAGATTTTATATTTCTGAATCAAGGAAGGTTTTTGTGCTCTCCATTTTGTCCCAGATTCAGCACAGTCTTATGACATGATTTGGCCACAGTCATATTATGCAATACTAAGCCTGTTTGCCCTTGAGTACAGGGTGAAATGTGACACTACATACCTAATATTTCCTTGAATATGTTACTTTTGGATATACCACCATTTGTTTGATTATTTTTTTCCAGGCAAATGCTGCATGATTACAATGGATTTTCTCTCGATATTATTAGGTCTACAAGTTCTAATGCACTAGTATTTAAAACTCAAATGTCTGGAACTTTCTACACTTACGACTACATCATTTTCAAGAAAGGGACCATCTCAACTGAAAGCATGATATAAAGGGAGCTCTATATTTGCACAGAAATTGTTTGATAGTAAAGTATTCAAGGCTTCTCTTTGAACTCCATTATGAAAATTTAGTAAAATTAAATGAAACACCCTTAAAGACGACATAAAATCATAATACTTGTGACAGGTTGAAAAACTGGTTTCCTCTTCCATTATCTTGGTTCTGGGCACAATTTTAAAGTATATTTAACATGTATTTAACGGGTTAATTTCATGAATTCATTTATTCCTCAGTAACCTTTCTTTAAATAGATCTGTCTGTTTCAATTCAAGGCATGTGTTGTCTCCGTGTAATTCTACAGAAAAACTGTGCAGTCATCTTTATTATTTTATGCAGGATTTGAAAGGTGTAATTATATTAGCTCAGCAGATTCTAAAATAATAATAGTTGTAAAACAGCAGTAAGCTGTTAATTGGAATAATATGTGCTTAAGATAAATCAGGTGCTTTTTTCATGGAACTCAGTCTCTCAGGAAACCGAACAATGGATGGCTCTTGCATCCAATTCATTTTTACGCAATCACTTTAATAAATTTAAAATAATAATTGGGTTTGATTATGCTCTAATCAAAGTTATTATTCAGCACCACCTTTGCTTTTCCTAATAAGGCCAGCTGGACATAATTTCTTTTTCAGATGTTTTTAAAAATTCTTGGCATTTCCTTTTGCTGTTCCATTTTAAAATTCTAATACACAATTGTGTGGGTACATGCATAATAAATTAAGAATATCAATCTTCAACTTTGTGTATGTCAGAAAGTAAGAATTTGCCAAATTTTCCTGTACTGATGTGTCTTGGGTAACCCAAAATGTTATTGTATTCCATATCTCTCTGTGCTTGAAGTTGTTACTGTCTCTTTGAGACCCAGCAGCCAGAAAAGGAACAGTGAGGTCGGAGTGTGTGCTGGTCCTTTTTTAAAGTTGGGGGCATTCAGAAACAAGTGCTCTTTCTCTTTTGTTCTTGCTGGGTGAGCTGAGGTAGTGCAAGGCAGACAGCAGCTGCACCACCAAGCAAGAAAAACAGAACAGCTCCCACTCCATATGGTCATCCCAGTCTGCCAGCAGTGCCTGGTCAAAGCAGGAGAACATGGAATCCAAGTTGTCCAAGCCCGCTGCCCACTGTTTTTGCCAAAGAGAAGGCAAAGTCCCTCCATGAGTTCCAGCTATTGACATATATTGACATATTGACTCATAGCTATTCCTATGAGTTCCAGTTCCAGCCTCCAGGGATTCTAGGTTTTCTTTCTGTTTTGCTCTTGCTCCCTCTTGGTTGATATGTGGGGGTAAGAGGGAGATTTTTAATTGCGGAGGTTTGGTGCTGCGCTCTTTTTCTCTCTTTGTTCTCTCTTCACCCCAGGTCATCTGTAGAGGGAGCCATCCTGGGGAAAAGAGTTGTCTGCCATTTTCCCTTTATCTCTCCACACACGATCATCCATGGAGAGTGCCATCAGGGTTTCTCTGCTCTTTTTGCTTTTCTTTGTTTCTGGAGAATCTATGAATAATCCATGAAATTCAGTAACATTATAACTACTGATTATCACTGTTATTTTTTGCCTGTTCCTGTTTCATTTTTTAATGACTGTTTTAAACTGTTATTTTTTCCCTTACCTCTTCTTGCATTCATCTTTCCTTATTGGTGAATGAGCAGTGGTTAAAACTAAAAGGGGAGGTAACTAATTTTGGAATATCTGCCCCTTTAATTTTCTTAAACTAAGATACAATGTTACTTTAATTTACTCCACAGACGCGATCTTAGATATTATACTGTTATTGTTTGGTTCAATATTTCTGAAAAAGGAGAGTAAGGATCTGTACACAACATAATAAGCATTTTTGTCTGCCTATTATTATTGCACCATTATTGTGACTCCTTTAGGAAATCTATGTTTGGCTGAGTATATAATCACGACCTTGAACAATGAGCCCATGTCAAAGAAAATTTATCTTTTCTTCCATTTGCCTTATCTTTTAAAATGACACAGCTTATGGCAGTGTAAGGAAATACAGAAAAAGTACCTTTACCTGAATACAGAAAGACATGGTTTATTAAAAAGAAAGAGAATAAGTTCATCTTGAAGTAATTCTTGGTCTGGAAACAGTCTAACTGGGAAGGTGGTAATTCCAACATGCATTTACAATCTTCCACTCTCTATTGTATTTTAAAGAATGAAAATTAGAGGTTAACTTTAAATGTTTTGTATTTCTTATCAGTACATTTTTATGCAAGTTTTAAAAATAACTTCTATTTTGTGAGTAGAAGTGAAGGAGTTTTTGTAGTCAGAGACAGATAAAATACCCAAAATACATGGAAATACTTATATCTATTCAATTCTTCACGAGCAACTTCAGGCAGAAGAAAGTTTGATAAAATAACATAAAAGTTAAATTGTAAAAATAATAATTTAACTTGTATCAAATATGACTTTCATTATTTCTCAAAAAAATATACCAAACTTTTTCTGTATTGTACTTCTTGTATTATTATCAGAAAAAACCTACCTCAGAAAATTAAATGTTATGTTTTCACTATAGACATACAGAACAATGTGCTGGTAAAATGAAATTCATCTGGGTTCTGTAGGGTATCTTCTCATATTACTGCTATAGTAATAACAGTGGAACAATACTGTTTGTTGGCAAGATCTATGCTCTTGGCAAGTTATTCCACATATTTATTCCCAGTTTGAGAACTTGAGATTTCAATGAGGAAATGGCTGAGTCCTTCTGCTAAAGAAATGTGTTTAAACATAAAACTTTCTTGAGCAAGACTTTGCTGTTCCACTATTGTCCCCTTCATCATAGTTTTGTAAGCTCTCTGAAATCAGATGTAAATGGTAAAAGAACTATGGGTATAGACCTTTTTTTGCCAACTCCCTATTAAAATCATCAAACTTACATAAAGAAATCATGCAAAACAAAGCAAAATAGAAAATAAGAAAGAAGGAAACACAGTCAAAGGTTTTGCCTTAAAATATCTTTGCAACTCTGATTTGATGAGTTGGCACTGATGTGCAAAGTAGCATTTCTCAGTCAATTTATTTCTAATTACATCACTACCTCAGAGCAGTTTGAAAAGACACTGAGGATGATGTATTCCAGTTGAAAATGAACAGAGCTGTCTGGTACTTCATGTAAGACTGACAATCAGGTCACTACAAAAGAAAAATCTGTTTTTAGTTTTATGCAAAGAAGTTTTCTTCTTTCCTTTCAAGTCCTTTGCCTTTCCCCATGCTGAGCACTTGCATGTACTGGGCACAGGTACCCTTAGGTGTACACATGAAAGCAGATCCAGGGGATGCACTTTGATGCCAACCTACCATTCTGATGCCATTCTCAAAGGCCTGACGTGCCAGAGAAGCGGGTCCATCCACAGTCTTACCGTCGTCATCAGGCCCCCAGCTAGCACTGTAAATGTGGATGTGCTGAGGATTAAGGCTCAGAGACTTTGCCTCTACCATATCTGTCACATCTCCATCCAGCATCCGTACACCTGTAGAATGAAAAATACTATGAACTTTCACAGACAAACTCAAAATGTTTCTTCCCACTCTCCGAGAAAATTGTTGTGTATGACACTGAACTGAAAAAATTATAATAATTACTACTGCTATTAAAGAAAAAAACCCAACAAAACAAAACACAACAACAACAACAAAAAAATCTGTTGGGTATCTGTTTTCCCAATGTCTCTAGATGGAAAAAATATAAGAAGATATGAATATTTTCATCCTTCTTCTAGTTCTAAAAATTATATACAAGTAATTTATTCACTATATAGCCTTCAAACTCCAACAACAAAGTTTTAGGCTAAATAAAATTTTTAAAACTACTTGAGCTTTGAAATGTTTTTATGTCACTTAAAGATAATAATTGATTTTCTTTCTCCTTTTATACTGCAGTGAAACTGCAGCACCTTCCTTGAGACATTCACAGTTTTAATCATGTTAATAGATGAAATAAAAGGATCCCTACAGGTAAGTAACCTTGGCATTAATCCTTCATTGTATGAGGCTGTAAGGAAGAAACTGAGGAGAACTCTCCTGTGTACAGAACGATTACCACACACTGCAGCACGGCAATTACAAGAGGCTATGAACAAACAGACAATGTTGTTCAACCTGAAATTACAGCACAGTGGACATCTTTCTCCTACAGATGAAACTTTTGAAAGTTATCATCTGCAATTCTTCTGTTAAAAGAACCCATTCACGTGGGTTTGGATAAGTCAATCTACCAGCACTTTATAAGTTCACTAGACTGAATATAGTATACTAAAATCTGAAAACTGAGAAAATATGGAATTTGTTTTTGTTCTAACTTTAAGACTTAGTGGTTAAATTTGAGAAAACCACCAATGCCAGTTTTAACCTAAAAAAGAAAAAAGACCTACACACAGCTAGTGTGACGTGATCAAAGGGAGGCTAAATATAAAATTAAAATTTAATACAATAGCATGATAGAGGGATGATCACTTCCACAATTTACAAGTTAGATGCTCTTTCCCCTTTAGAACACTACTCCAATTTATATGCCAAATTTAGGTATTTTTAATTACAGACACATTGCATTTGGCTTATGAGCTCAGATGAAAGAAACTGGTGTGTTTAACAAGCCTTTAACTTCCTATTAACAAGAGGCATAGGAATATCTTCTTTGTTGAAAGAAGACTTTTTTTTCCCTTACTCTAACTCAAAAATGCAAAGTGATTGTATTTCTTAGTTCACACAAAAGTTGCCTATGTTTTGTGAGATAATTACAAACTGTGATCCCACTATGAACTTTGCTTTTAAAAAAGAGTCATTAAACCAACTCTTTAATTCTAGGATTTTATTTTCTTCTGCATAATCACAGAAAATTAATGATGGTGAAAGTTGTGTGGTCAAATCCTTTAAAGCATATTAAAGTATCTCTCTAGTTCTGAATAAAGGTATACTGGTTTTGAAAGAAGGAAAATTAAGCTTTTCTTTATGACTTTGTTAGCAAGTCTAACTATTATATTCAACCAATGAACAATAACTCAAATTGCTGCAACTGGCACCTAAAGTAATTCACACCATTTTTGGGTTTTTTTAGTGGTGAAGTTGTCTACTTTTAAAGCAACACAGACAAGGTTGTGACTTAGGTGTTGTTCTCTGAAGCCAACAATGGACAGACGTGCTTCAAAGCTATTGGCCAAGGCCATCTGTGAGGTTCAACCAGGCCAAGTGTCAAGTCCTGCACTTTGGTCAAAACACCCCCATGCACCACTACAGGCTGGGAACAGAGTGAC